ATCTAGCCCTGATTTCTCTGCTGACTCACATCTCCAACTGCCTATTGGACATCTTAAAATGGATGTCCTCTAGACATCTTAAACTCAACTTGTTTAAAAACTGAACTCATTATCTTTCTCCTCAAGCCCTATCCTCCTCTTAACTTCTCTATTACTGTTGAGGGTACCACAATCTTTCCAGTCATCCAGACTCCCAACCTAGATGTCATCCTCAACTCTTCGCTCTCTCTCACTCTCCCATTGAGTGGGCATTGCTTCAGTCAAACTGAGACCTGGGGAAGACCTTAACTTTAAAAGGCCAAGGTCTCCCACTGCATCCAGGGCCATATCCAGTCTTCCTGATCTATATCCTGCCACTGAACCCAGATGGCTCCAGAGGAGAAGCGAGGCTGGTGACTTTGTACAGACCTCCCTCACTTAAATCCAATCCCCTTGTATGTCAAGGCATCATCTTCTTGACTTCACGGTCCTCTGTTAGTACAAAGGACAAACAACAACAACAACCACCCCACCCCCAATTGTGTCCAATCTCTTGCCAAATCCTGTCAATTCTACCTTCATAATATCTCTCATTTTTGCTCCTTTTTCTCCTCTGATACTAGTCATCTCATGTCTCACTATCCCAATAACCTGCTGGTTGTTCTCCCTGCCTCAAGTCTCTCCCCACCACAACCCATCCTCCATTCAATTGCCAAAGTGATTTTCCTAAAGTTCAGTTCTGACCATGTCCCCTTTCTTCCCCTTCAAAAAACTTCAGTGGCTCCCCATCACCTACAGAATAAAATAGAAAATCCTCTGTTTGACATTGAAAGCCCTTTATGACTTGGACCCTTCTTACCTTTCCAGTCTTCTGATACCTGATTCCCCTCTGTGTACTTTGCAATCCAATGCACTGGTCTCCCAGTTCCAGGCATTTTCATTGGCTGCCCCCCATGCCTGGAATTCTCTCCCTCCTCATTTCCATCTCCTGACTTTCCTGGCTTCCTTCAGGTCCCAGCTAAAATCAGACCTTTTACAACAAGCCTTTCCTGATCCTCCTTCATGTCAGTGCCCTCCCTCTGTTTATTATCTCTTATTTTCCTGCATATAACTCATTTGTATATAGTTGTTTGTAGGTTGTCTTCCCCATTAGACTTTGAGGTCCTTCTTTGTACCCCCAGTGGCAATTAATAAGTGCATATTTGCTGACTGACCGACTACTCCCAGCTGAAAATGTTCTCTTTCCTCAGATCTTATTGCACTTTGGCTCTCCTATCTTCTATCACATTTGTCTGTGTACATTTTATATACCTCTATCAGACTATAAATTCCTTGAAGGTTCAATTGTTATTGTTTCACTTTTCTACCCCCTGCACCTAGAGTAATGTCTTGCACATAAAAAGTATTTAAATATATTTGTGGAAATAAATTGAACTTCTGATCCATTTTGAAGCATTCCTCCAGATCCCATGGTGACTCCATATGTTTTTGACCAAAATGAGTAATTCAGAATGACTAGCACTTTGCTGGTGCATGTAGAGGCCAAGGCCATAGTGACAATATGCCTGTTTGCTATTTTCCTTTGTCTCTTGGGCACCTCAGTACCTCCAAGGCATCATTCTAACTACTGACTAGTTCATTCCAAAGAATAACTATGGAGGGTCCAACATTAGAGTTAATTAGGAATAGCTTCCTCCCTCCCTCCCACCAGATACTTGGGATCAGCCTCCATAAAAAGGCTTTTAATTTCCACTGCCTTCACCCTAATTTAGATGCTTCTTACGTTATGCCTAGACAATTGCAATAACCTCCTGGCCAATCTCTCTGCCTCCGGTTTCACTCAAATAATCCTTCCTAGTGTTGTGACCAGTAATCACCTGACCATATCACTCTTCTGATCAAAAGCCTTCAGTGCCTTCTGACTGTTTACAGAATAAAATTCATTGAATGTGATAGCCTTGTACCCAAGGACCCCCATGCTCTGTGTTTAGCCTATGTTTCTTGATTTATCTCCCACTCTTCCCCTACAGATACCCTTTGTGCCAGCCAATTACACTAGTAATCATTTCATGCAAATATTCCACTCTCTCCCACTTCAGTACCTTTCCTTTCGTTTCCTAAAATAAATTTTATTTATGCCTTTTTTTTACAGTCATTTCCCAATATATTTTCTCCCTTTTCCTCCCCCACTTGAACCCTCCCTTGTAACAAAGAAAGCCAGGAAAGCAAAACCAACTGTTTGATGCTGTTTTTTTCACAGCATCTCCCCTGTTTATAATGTCCTTCCTTTCTCTTTACTTCCCTACACGATTTCTGCCTGTTAAAATCCTACACATCCTTCCAGGCTCACCAAACACCACCCTAAAATTAGTATAATAATCTTAGTGTTGAAAAGAACCTTAGAGATCACAGAGTACATATTCCTATTCATCGCATGAATCCCCTCTATGGTATCCCCAAGGGTAAGAGATTCCTTTCAGACCCTTTCCAAGACAGAGAACTCAAGACTTCTTAAGGTAGCCCATGGCATTTTTTGACAGCTCTAAGCATTAAGAAGATCTTGCTTGCATGGAGGGGAAGCCTAACTTCCTGTGATTTACACCCATTGGTTCTAATTCTGACCACTGATGCCATCCAGAATTGAGTCTAGTCCTATTTGAAGGCTGCTATCTTGCCCTCCCACCCACACCCCACTTGGCAGCCTGAAGCTGTGCTGTCCAGCTGAAACAGAGATAGAGGCATTAATCCATACAGAAGGATCCCAAAGGCAGCATATTGACTTTGTTTTAAAACGTAATGTTATCTATTTATTGTATTTTAATTTATTTTGTTAAATACTTTCCAATTACATTTTAATCTGGTTCAGCCATACTCAGGAGTGTTGTTTGTTTGACACCTTTGGTGTAATGGATAGAAAAACAACCTCAGAGCTAAGAAGCCCAGAGTTTAACTCTCATCTCTCGTGTGATCCTGGCCAAGGCACTTAGCTTCTTAGGGACCAGTCAGTGCTCTAAGACTGCCAGTCAAAAAGCATTTGCAGATTTTACATTGCTGGAGGAAGTTCCCTCACTAGGAATTTCCTATGCTTAGTGAAATCCCAAAACCTGACTCTCCCCTCAAATTATCTCTTCTCCAGGCTAAATTTACCCTCACTTCCTTCAACTGATTTTGGTATGCTATGATCTCTGGACTGCTTATCAAACAAGACATCTGTAAAGCACTTAGCATAGTGCATGGCATATAATAGGTGCTTAATAAATGTTTGTTCCCTTCTCTCATTCCCCTTCCCATTTGCTAATACTGATCACCTTTCTCTGAATCTACTCCAGTTTCTCAGTGAGGCACTTAGAACCAAACTCTACTTCAAGTGTTGTCTGACTGGTATTGAATATAGCAGACTACAGTCTGCTTTGATCTAGATGCTGTATTTACCTTAATTCAGTCTAAGGTTGTGTTAGCTTTTCTTGTTTGTCACCACATTAAAAAAATTTTTTTTGAATTATGCTTTAAAAAAATTTAATATTTCCCCAATTATATGTAAAACAATTTTAACATTCATTTTTAAAAGTTTTTGCACATCACACTTTTAACCCATATTGAACTTACAGCCAAGTAAAACCCCTAGATCTTTTCCCATGAACTGCTGCCTAGTCATATCTTCTCCATCCTGTAGTTCTGTCATTGATTTCACCTGGTCATTTGCAAACTTAAATAGCTTAAAATAAATGGCTGATATTGATATGGTGCTTTAAGATGTACGAAACTACTTCACATGCATGATGTCATTTAATAATCAGATTATGCCATCTCATTTGATACCTTCATCTAAATCTATGATAAAAATTGTTAATGAAAAGAAATTTCTTCATTCCACAATCACCTCCCAATTAGACATGGTCTCTCCCTCCTTTAATACTTGATAGGACTTTCTTTTCACTTTTTTTGTGGCAATTACCACAGCCTGCTTTGGATTATCATTATTTGCACAAATTTCATCTGCCCGACTAAGACTGGAAATACTGTGAGGTCAGGCACCCTAACAGTGTCTAGGAAATCCCAAAGTATTTGTTGAATGAATGAACTTGTCCATCTCAGGACACATCCTGGAGATTAGAGAAGGAGAGGGAGTTTTACTACTAGGCATCAATCAATTAATAAACACTTATTAAGTGCTTCTTGTTATTATTATTATTATTAAAGTTCTATGCAAGCCACTGTGTTAATGAGCCTGAGGTTCCTGGAGCAGAGAGGATTGATTACTCCTGGGTCTGTGGACCTTGTGATCTCCTTGCAGTCTTGAGACATCAGACTTCCTGGAGTGGGGGTGGGGGTGTCACAAGATCACAGATACAGAAAAGATCTTAGGTATCCTCTAGTGCAAGATGTTTGTGGCATGGACCACAGTCTGATACAGCAGTCTGATGAAACCTATGGTTCCCCTCTCAGATCATATTTTTAAATGCACAAAATAAAATGCACCACACTAAGAAGGAGAGTAACAACATTGAAACACAGTTATTGAATATACATATACATAGAATTAAGTTCTAAGATCCCTTCAGGCTCTGAGATGTTGTGATTTCCACATATTCCGAAGACACTCACATACAGACAGCTGTCTTTATAGCCTCATTCCCTCATACCCCAGCTTTGCAGCACCCAGTGTACAAATGATCAAAGACTCCATCAGTCCCCCCCCCGACAAGTTCACAGACCCCAGATTAAGAACCCCTGAATTGTATTAATTCTTTTCCCAGCTAAAGGAAGGGAATCACAGAGAAGTAAGGCAACTTGTCCTAGGTCCCTCACAGCTAGCCTGTGAGAGAGCATGGATTTGAACCCGGGGCTTTGTGACTCCAGAGCCATCACTCAGCTTTGCATCTCATTGCCTTTCTTTCAGATAGAGCTGCTTAGTCAGGGACAGGTTAACACAGATGCCTAGAACTGCAGAGGCAGTGAGAGTGTAGATAGAGATCTGTGCATTATTCATAGGGAAGACTCCACCCCCAGGGCCAGGGGACTTAAAGGGAGCTGAGGGAAGCCGGGAGGGGAGCTGAAGAGAAATCCCAGAGCAGGAGAGAGGGAGCAGAGGAAGCAACTAGACAGGGACAAGTCCTACAAGTGGTATACAGTGGGATTTGGGTCCAAGGCAAGCATGACCTCTGAGCTGACCCGCCGACCTCTGCACCCTCGGCTCCTGAGTTGCCTGGTGTTCCTTGCTTTCCTCTCCAGTACTTCCACACTCAGCCTGGACTTTGCGGAACATCGGAATAAAGCAGCCAAGACCAAAATCCACCCCAGAGGTAACCTCTGGGCCACAGGTACACCCACTGGGTTTGAAAAAATGATCTGGGGTGTCAGTTTTATAGGTGGGGCAGGGCTCTGTGAACCTCCAGATGTTAATTCCCTGTCTTCCCTCTCCCATTGACCCCTTTTTCCCATTTTCTCCCTACGAGTCTCTTTCTCCTCCCTTCGCTAGTTTCCCTCTTCATTCCCTTCATCTGTCCCTCTGCTATTTGTTCTCAGAACACCCATTTTTGTCCTCCCTTCCTGCTCCCTCTTTTCTCCACTTCAATAATTCTGGCTCACCCTTCAGAGTTTTATAAATGCCTTCTGATCTGTTCTTTCATTTGATCTGTGTAATATCCCTGTGAAGAGGATCATGTGATTATAGATTCAGAGCTGGAAGGAACCTTAGAGGTCATCTGGTCCAACCTTTCATTTTACAAATGAGAAAACAGCCTCAGAGAGCATAAATGATTTGCTGGACCTGGGATTGATTCAAACCCAGGCCTGGTGACTCCCACTCAGGATCCACTATACCAGTACCATTGTTGCCATCTCCATTTTATAGGTGAAGACACTAGGACTCAGCTTGAATGACGTGCCCCAGGAGACACAGCTAGAAAGGAACAGACCTAGAACTAGTCCATTGATGCTTAGTCCCATCTGCCTACCCCTTTTCTATCCTTCAACATCCTATTCATCAGCTTCTCTTCTCCCCAGGCCCTGAATAGACAGAAAAGAAATAGATGGGACCTCTGTCCTTTTCCCCATCTAGCTTCAATACCGGAGATACATGCACACATAAATAAACACCAAATGTGCACAGATTTATGAAGAGATTGGCAAATACATTCACATTCCCCTACAAGCTGTGAGAGGTGGAGAGTGTGAAGAATTGGCTAAGGTTTCTTGGGGTATCTTGCAGTATAGTGCAAAGAGCACTCACCAGGTTTGGACTTAGAGGACATCCCTCTGAAACCCAGCTCTGCTGCCTGCTAACCTGCATGGCCTTAGGTCAATCTCTTAAACTCTCTGCACCTCAGAACCTTTTTTTTCCCTGTAAAATAAAGAGGTCAGGCTTAATGACCTCTAAAGCAGTTTCAGTTTTACATCTTATGATCCTTTGGTCATTCATACCCCGGGTGCTGAAAAGCTGGGGTGGTAGGGATAAGAGAGGTATATATGTGTGAGGGTGGGAGGGTGGAAATCATAGCATCTCAGAGCTTAAGGGATCATAGAACTCAGTCCATTTTGTAGACAAGAAAGCTAAACCACAGAGAAGTTTGAAAGGTTAGCTGAGTTGACCAAGGTTATGCAACCCAAAGAGGAACTGAGATCTTCTGATCCTCAGGCCAGCATTCATTCCCCAGAAACACCTTGCCTCAGGTCACCTCTCTCACTCTCCCTTTCCCCAACTTTCTCCCTTTCATCCCTTGCCCTCTCCATGATTTCTACATCTCATTTCCAGGTCACTTCATGGGCAGGAAGAGTGTGGAGCCCCTGGCCTTCTCTTCTCCTGGGACAGCCTCCCACACCACCTTGGAGGAAATGAAAGATCGGCTGAGTCATGAGTTGGTTAGGATCCTCCGGCTGAAGAAATCCCTGGGCATGAGCCAAGGGGGCCCTGCAGTGAGTGCCCAGGTGATCTATTCCTACCACCCTGCTCACAGCCCTAGAGGACAGAGGAGAAGCGTGCTCAGGGAAGAGGATGAATATTTTGTGATGACATACCTATATTCCTGGGTGCCCTTCATGTAGCAGGGAAGGAGGGATGGAGGGGCTCTCTGGTGTAAAGTCTCAATTACCCCAACTCTTGGTAAGTCCATTTTCAGGCTTCCAGAGCTGGAGGCTTTGCTGTGATGAGTTTGTAGCTGCAAGCAGTCATCTCTTTCCCTTCTTATACTTCAGTTACTCTGTGAGAATCTAGCTCGCCCAAAGAAAAGTGATTTAATATTTATTGCCCTCTCAGGGTGAGCTGAGCACCCTGCTAGGGATACTGCAGCTAAGGCAGGGCAAAAAGATATGAAATATAGGCATCAGTAGCAAAGCACTTGGAGAGAGGAATGGGGAGATCGGTCAGTCCTTGTCCAGTATTTCCCACTCTTGAGTCTCTGCCAGGGTTATGTTCTTTTGCCTTCTCCACCTCATTCCAATCTAGCTGTGGCTAATACTTGAGAATACCTCACATTTAGGGGCAGCACTGGCCCTGAAGTCAGGAGGACCTGAGTTCAAATCCGGCCTTAGACCAAACACTTGACACTTACTAGCTGTGTGACCTTGGGCAAGTCACCTAACCCCAACTGCCTTTAAAAAAAAAAAAGAGAATACCTCACATTTATGCAGTACTTTATCAATACAAAGGATTTCACAGACACTATTTCTTTATTTAGAGGCAGCTAGGTAACACAGTGGATCTAGAGTCAGGAAGACCTGAGTTCAAATCCAGCACACTCCCTTGCTCTGTGTGACCTTAACCTTTGTCTCAGTTTCTTCAACTGAAAATGGGGATAATCATAGCACCTACTTCTCAGGCTTGTCATGAAGCTCAAATGAGATAATATTTGTACAACACTTAGCATAGTGCTTGGCACATAGTAGGTGCTTAATAAGCAATTGTTTCCCATTCCCATTCCTCTTTCTCAACGAAGTAGATGGCACAAATATTATTTATTCCCATTTTCCAGATGAGGAGTTTATGACTTGAAAGAGTTAATAAGTGGTGGAGCCAGAGCCTGAATCCCAGCATTCTGATTTTTTGCCCAGTGCTCTGTCTACCATTAATATTTATATTTATGTGACATTTTGTGATTTACAATGCATTTTACAAACATTAGCAGAGCCCTGGATCCTAACTCAGACACTTATTATCTGTGTGACCCTGGTAAAGTCACTTAATCTCTCTGAGCCTCTGTTTCCTTATCTGTAAAATGGTGATAATAGCATCTACATAACAGGGTTGTTGTGAGCATCAAATGAGGCAAAATATGTAAAGCATCATGTGAACTTTAAAATGGCATATATGATGTCCCAAAAGTCTTAATGCAGTGAATAGCTTAGTGGAGTTTTAAGCTTTAATAACTTGAAACTGCACTAAGACTTTTAAGACACCCTATATACCTATGAACTGCTATTATTTGAGCCTTAGGACAACTCTGTGAGGTAGGTAGTTCAAGTATTGTTATCCTCATTTTATAGAGGGGGAAACTGAGGCTGAGTGAGGTGACCTAAGTCCTCTGATTGCAAATCCAGTGATCTTTCTATTACATCATTTTGCCTTTCTAAAATTGTATCTGTCATTTTATAAAACCTGCTGTATACCATAGAACCTAGAGGTAATATCTAATGCCACTTAAGCCTATAATATATAGTCAATTTTAATATTGGCCTACATAAAGGATATCATTGGGAAGATTCCATTTGCACGTTCTTCTGCTACCAAAAATAATCACATCAATTCTAAAACCAAATATCAATACTTTTTTGAAGTATTCACTACAATTTTTCCATTCATCAATACAAATCATTTATAAATTCAACTCAACAAGCATTTATCAAGTATTTACTGGGTGCTGGGTGCTGAGGATACAACGATAAAATTAATCAGCCTTTCCCCTCAAATAGCTTGTGTTCCTTGGAACATATTTCAGTTTCCTTTCAAATATACAATAACTATTGAGGACCTACTATGTGTAAGGTACTGTGCTAGACATTGTGAGGAATATAAAGGTGAATTAGACATAGCCTCCACCTTCCATAGATCATCACATGCTATAGCTAGAAAGGGCTTTAGGGATCATCTATTCCAACTCCTAGATTTTGCAGATGAGGAAACTGAGATTCAGGATGTTTAGGTGACTTGTTTAAGATCTTACAATAAATTAGTGGCAGAGGCAAGATCGGAACCTTTGATTGCATATAAACTCAGTCTTTATCACCCGGAGCCTGTCCAATGTCCCCATCACAGCAGCAATGTCTGGACTGACTCTGTGATCCTTGAGATTTTGTGCCTGGGATACTAGGTGAGGAGAACAATCATCCTTTGGGCAGGCAAATCATTGCTATGTTGCTTCTCCCCAATCCAATTCAGTAATAATTTATGGAGCACCTTCTAAGTACAAGGTACTTTGTGGGTTTGGATGCTGGAGATACAAAGACCATATAGTTCCTGCCTTCAGGGAGTTTACATTCTGTTGCAGAGTGGGAAGTTAATTTTCTGCCTTTTGTAGTCATACAAAAGGGTCCCAGGATCTAGCCCAGAGCCTCGGTTGGTGACTATGTAGCAGAATGGTGGAATAGCCCCAGACCAAGCATGGGCAGTTTGATATAGAACCACCTATAGAAGGAAGGAAGAAAGGAAAGAAGCATTTATTAAGAAAGAGATTGCTGTGTGCCAGGCTTTGTGCTAAGCTCTTTATAAATATGATCTCATTTCATCCTCACAACAATGCTAGGAGGTTGGTACTCATTATTAGTTCCACTTTGTTGTTGTTGTTGAGTTGTTTCAGTTGTGTCTGACTCTTCATGACCCCATTTTGGATTTTCTTGGCAAAGATACTGGAGTGCTTTGCCATTTCCTTCTCCAGCTCATTTTACCGATGAGGAAACTGAGGCAAACAAGGTAAAGTGACTTGCCCGAGGTCACACAGCTAGTAACCATCTCAGGCCAGATTTGAACACAGGTCTTCCTGACTCCAGGCCTGGTGCTCTATTCACTGTGTCACCTCGCTGCCATTCCCATTTTACAGTTGAGGCAAACAGAGATTAAGCGACATCCCCAGGATCACATAGCTACTAAGTGGCTGAGGTTGGATTTGAACTCAGATCTTCCTGATTTCAAGCCCAGTGTTCTATCAATAACCCAGCCTCCTTTTTTTTTAAACTGATGAAGAAATTGAGACTCAGAAGTACTATGCGTAACTTGCTAAAAGTCACACAGGCAGTAAATTGGAAGAGTTGAGTTCCAAACCCAAGCCTAAAATGAATGAATAATTTGTTAAGCACTTACTATGTGCATAGCACTATGCCAAATGCTAAAGATGTAATAGAAAAGCCAGACATTCCCTGCTCTCAGGGAGCTCACATTCTACTAGGGCAGATAACACACGTGGAAGGTTTTAACTACAAGTCAGATGGAAAAGACCAGTGTTTTTTGGGTTCTTTAATGTTACTTCCACTGATAAAATAATATTGGTTCCTGATGTAGAACTATTTGAATGCACCAAGCATTTGGTGGCAAAAACTTTTCTGGGTCTTCAGTAGCTGAGGCTGTAGCACCTGCAGGAGTGGTTACCATGCTGCATCTCCATAGCAGTTGCTTCCCAGGATGATGGCTGAGGGCACTGGGCTGGAAGCTGGTCTGGTGGTTTATGGGGCAATGCTATTCCCAAGCTTCTTGGATTGAGGGTCCTGGATTGTCTCCATCTGGGTCTAAGGGGAGATAGATGGTGATTGAGGTGTGGGGGGGATGTGGTTTGACTTGCCTGGCATGTACTGCCTTCTCTCTTGCCCTCAAAGTGCATTGCTGCTTCAGTTCATCTGGCCCATCTGCCCTGTGCATGGCAGCTGAAACATTTGAATCCATTGTTCTTTCCATCAGCCAACATTGCCTCTCATTTAACTGCCTCTCTCTCTCTCTCTCTCTCTCTCTCTCTCTCTCTCTCTCTCTCTCTCTCTCTCTCTCTCTCTCTCTCTCTCTCTCTCTCTCTCTCTCTCTCCCCCTCCCTCCCTCCAGAATGCCTTAATGGGAGGAAGTGTTGGGAAGTGAGGCTTGGGTTATTTTGCATATGCAGGGTGATGTTACTATACTGCATGCCATGGTCCACGGATGATCTACAGCCTAGGTCCATCTCTGTATAGAAGATTGAATAGAGATTAGTTGTCTACTCTTCTTAATTGTTCCTTCTGCTCACTTCACAGAGAAGAGCAGAGAGAAAAACACAGCACTCAACTCTTGGGTCTGTAGAAATAAGAATTCTGGGTAAAACTCAGGAAGGCTTCAAGAAGGAGGTTCCCAACTCTTTCCTGTGACTCCTTCCAAGGCTCTAGCCTCTTTAATTTGAGGGACACAATTCTCCCCCCACCCCAGAGCTATCTATGCATCCCTGTCCCCTTCTGATAACTGATAGGTGGGGCTGGTAGAGTCCTCCAAAGGGCAATTCTTGATACCATTTTCCCCTCCTTAGGACCTATGGATGCTGGTTCAGCAGCTGGAGAAGTAGTCAGGTCACTGGCAGCTACGGCTCAGACTGTACAGACCAAGCAGCTGCCTGGAGTTCAGAGCATGGCCATCAGGAGGTACTGCCACAGTCTGATGAAGAGTAATTTCAGTCCCTTGTTGCTACATCATTTCTATAATCTTTGATTGAGGTCACTCACTGTTAATGCTGTTCTTCAAGACACGAATGATGTATCTTCTGTATATTTTTTTTCTGCATCCCTGCTGAGGTTGTGAATAAAACCTTATTCTTTGCACAGAATGTGTGGGCCGCTCATTCTAGCCATTCCTGTGGGAATCTCACCAATGGGGTGAGGGAGAGGGTGTGAGATAAGAAGAGGTCGGCTCCAAGTGAGGCCATGGCTTTTTAAAGACAAACTGGCTCCTGTGCTTCCCACTTCTTCACCCTCCCAACCATGGCTTGCTGGGAAACTCTGTCTTTGACTCTTTGACTCTACCTGACTAGGACAGTCCCTGTAGAAGAATGCTGCTCTCCTATTCCCTATGGGTAGCCCTATGGGCTCCATGGCAACCAGAGTGGTCCTTCTGATGAGAGATGAAGGGTGGGGTCAGTCAGTCAAGAAGCATTTATACTGTGTAACAGGCACTTTGCTAAGCCCCTATATGCTCCATCCCATACTTGTAGGACCTTAGTGGACAGTACACTCTCCCCTCAGGAGTCTGGCTCAGTCTGCATAGACAGATAGGTCTTCAAAAAAGTGAAGGTTATGGTATAGTAGAAGGGATGCCTCTTGGGCAGGAGAGGAAGGGTTCTGGCCCTCCAGTCTTCCAGCACCCATTGCCAGCATGAACTTGGAGAAGGAAATAGCAAAGCTCTCCAATATCTTTGCCAAAAAAAACCCTATATACAGTTGCTCCACAGGGTCATAAAGAGTTGGACACAACAGAGAAGGGATGCTCCAATGGGAGTCAGTGGGTCTGAGTTTTTATCCTACCTCTGCCCCAAACTGTGTGATGGTGGGTAAGTCATTTCCTCTCACTGGCTGTGTATATATTTTTTCTCTTTCCTGAGCCTCAGTTTCCCCATCTGCAAAATAAGAGAGTTGGACCAGATGATCTCTAAAGTCCCTTTAACATTCCAAATTTTATGAGTCTTGGAATAGAGTCAATGAGTCTTAAATGTGGAATCAAGAGTGCCCATGGCTTTGCCAACTTAATAATTCTGTGACATTCTCAGTTGATTCAGTTTATATGATGGGGTTGAACAACTAGGTAACCTCTAATGTCCCTTCCAGTTCTAAATGCTAGGACTTTCGCAGTCCAGTGAGGGCCAGGCCGCCCCCTTCCCCAGTCCAACTGACTTCTCCAGGGAAGGGCCCACTTGGAAGCCACACCCCTTGGCATGTAGGGCAGGGGCGGGGGACGAGGGGGAGGGGTTACGATCAGCTGGCGGGGCCACGCCCACGTCCTTACGTCTCCGTCTGCAGGATCCGCATCGCCGTGGGCCGGCCGGAAGCTTCGGGAGCCTGCAAGGAGCATGGACGAGGCTGCAGATTGGCTCGTGGACTCTCTCCGCTTGTAAACCGGGCGGGGAAGCGGGGGGAGCGGGGTGGGAGGGTAGGACAGCGGCGCCCGGGGCCAGCCTAGAGGCCCTGGGGAAGTCCGGCGGGACTGGGCGGAGTCTGGCTGTCTTCCCTCGGCTTGGGCCGAGAAGCCAGACATCTCCGGTCTCGGGTCCATTATCCGACGCGGGGGGTCAATTATTCCTCACCAAGTCACCCCCCGAGCCTCACCTTCCCCGTCTGTACGATGGGCATAAAATAAAGTCCCGCCGGACCCTGATGAGAGAAAGGCATTTTGTAGACGTGAGGTTAATGGTGATGAAAATGCGTAAAGCTAGTAATGACCACAGAAACACAGTAGTTCGTATTTATAATAAGGTTTGTAAGTGTTTCCCTCGGGCTAATCCTGCGAGGAAACTAGACTCTGAAGGAGCTTGTTATTAGGCACAAAGCTAAGAAAAGGCAGACCTGGTGCTTGAACCAACCCAAGTCTTCTGAATACACACAGTGTGCTTTTCACAGCATCATGCTGCTGTTTGTTTTCATTTAGGTACCGAGATCTCCATGCATTTGAGCTGCCAGGTCCCACCAGAGTCCTGGAGTGGACTGATAACCAAGGTGACCTTATTCCCCTTTGCCCACCAAGGTGACCTTACTCCCCTTTCCCACCAAGGTGACCTTACTCCCCTTTGCCCACCAAGGGAATAAGTCCTTCTTAGGTACCGTTTTAAAGGAACCCATAGGTGATGCTTGTCAGAGGGGACAAAGAGTTCTGGAGACCCAGTTTCCTGACCGTGTCCTCGAAGCAGTTTCTTGCCACTGCTTTTGTGATACCGATGTTTTCTATCCCTAGTTACTGTACGTCTTGCTGGGTAATGTTATGATGGAGTGGCTGCCCCTACTCAGAAATTTCAGGGTGTGGAGGGTGTTTCTGTACTTAGCTTTGGTCTAGAAGATGTCTGTTGGCTGACTTTTTTTTTTTGCTTCACCTTACAGGAGTCTATGTTGCGGGCTCTGAAAGTCAGAAAAGAAATGAAGTGCTGCATCTTCTTTTACCCCCCAAACTCTGTGCTGAAAACCAGGTATAGTGCAAGTTGAATTGCTCCTTCATTTCCAAAATGATTGTAGAAGTAGAAGGTAGCCTTTTGGACCTGAATGAATGAAAAAAGCCTTTATTAAGTGATTTACTACGTACTGGGCAGTCTGCTAAATGCTGGGAATACAAATATAAAAAGCAAGATGAGTCTGTGCCGTTAAGTAGCTTATATTCTAATAGAGGAAGACACATAATATAGGGGAGAGGTATTTTGGTTTGGGAAATTGAAAGGATGATGAGTGGAGCTGTAGGGTAATTAATTGAAAGTCCTTACAAGAGCTTGAAGTAGAAGGTGGGAAGGAAGGGTCATAAAGCATAAAGGTGTTGGAGAGCCAGGGTCGGGTCCAGCCTAGAGATAAAGAACTCTCTCTACTTAGGAGCCAAAGGCTCCAGGGTGAAAGCTGAAACAAGGAGGCATGGAATGAAGATGGATGTGAACAGGGTTGGTCATTAAGTATATAAGTGTGTAAGAAGTCCTGAGGGATATGTGTTCCCAAATTCCATCTGTCCTTTCCTCATCCCTTCATCATCCCACCCTAGGCCTAATGATGAAATCCTTCTGAACTCACTGGGCCTGCAGACCCAGATTCTCTTCCTCATGGCATTCTCACATATCTCCTATTCCCATCTTGGAAGGACCCATTTTGTGGGAAGAATGGGGTATAACTGTCTTTTTATCCATTTAACCAGTTGCTTTCCCTCCAACTTTGGGAAATACAGAGTTAGGGACTCTAGGATAGTACTGATGTGTATATGTTTTGTCTTTTCAGTAACAGTGAAGCCAACTGTAATTTTAGACAGCTGGTACAGGCAGCAGCAACAATCTGAAATGATTGTCTTTCATTTTACTCTCCTCCATGTATTCTGTAATGCAATGACAGTGACTTTATTGCGATTTCTTATATGTGACTCTCTAGCCCCTGACTCTGTGCCTTTTTACTACCTGTTCCCTATGCCTGGAATGCTCTCCCTGTTTCCAACTTCTGGCTTCCTTCAGGACTCAGCTCAAACCCCATCTTCTTTTTCAAGAGGCCTTTCCTGCTCTCCTTTGTCTTTTCCCCTTCACACACAGTACTAAGTGTATTCCCTCTGAAATTATATCTCTCTCCCCCCATCTGTCTCTATCTCTGTCAATCTTGAATATACATAGTTGTTTTCATGTTGGGTCCCACATTAGAATGTGAGTTCCTTGAGGTCAGAGACTATTTTTCAATTTCTGACTGATTGATTCCCACGTAACAGATTGCATTATGGATTGTCCTCAAATGTTTCAGCCCAGGTTTGGCTGTAAGCTTATACACTAATATGGCTAAGGTAGAACTGGTCATATTAGCTTGCCTATATGTACCATTTTTATGTGATGACAGCAAGTAGCTCACTAATTCTTAATGGCTATCAAGAGAGGGATTTGGAATATAAGGTTCATACTATAGCAGAAAGGGCTGAAGAAATGATTTCGCTGGATGTAAAACAAAGAACTTCCTTGATATGTTTTTTTGAGGACAAGAGAGACAAGCAGTACAAATTACCACATACTTGAAATCGTGGAGAAAGTTTTCATACTAATTAGCTATTTACTATCACCTGGGCAACTCTCATAGTTCTCTTTGACTTCTGAGACCCTGACCTGGGTTACATTTCTCCTAACCTTTTGGAGGCCAAAAATCAGACCTTGCTCCTGGGCTCCCCAACCCTTATCTCCTCTAGCTGCATTTATCTGTTATACTGACCTTCTCCTTGTAGCCATAACCATATCCCCACTTCTAACTTTGATTGAGCATTCCACTACCTACCTGCAGAAACCTCTGGTAAGACAGCTTGGGAAAAAGGCAGGTAGCAAAAGTAGCAGTAATCTTTCTCCTTGTTTGTGTGAGCTTATTGATGTCATGGAATTCATCTGTAAGAAGCATCCAAAAACCAGGGAATAGTTAATTAACTTTTTATTTGTGTTTTAGGGCTTATGCCCAGAAAGAGATTTCAGGATGAAACATGGGGGATTTTCAGACAAGCCTGTCTACAACCTGAAGCATGTGCCAGAGACCAGGTATAAATCAGCTCTGTGCCCCAGACAGTTTAATTCTTCTAAAAATGGTTTATTGATGCATTTTGTTTTTTATATCAGTCATTTTTAGATATGACCCTATTCTTAAAACAAAGAAAAACAGTTAAGCAAAACCAGCTGGCACCTTTGACAACATATACAACTTTCAGCGCTCAGAATTCCCTACCTCTGTACCAGAAGAAGGGAAAGGACAGAGGTGACAGCATACTTTCCCCATGCCCCAGCTCCGAATAAAAAACAATAGAAAAGTAGGATCATCGGTAAAATTAGAGCCTTGGTCAAAACAAAACAACAACAAAGGTTTCCCTCCCTCACACAGACAGACAGACAGACAGACACACACACACACACACACACACACACACACACATACACACATACACTCCTTTTTGCTGATTTAATAAAATTTGGATGTGCCTTAGACTCAGGTAGCAACCCACAGTTTAAGAAGTGCTCAAGGGGTTGAAACTGGAAAAAGTTTTAAGAAGCCTTGTAGAAAATGAGTTCAGAACAGAGGGAATGAAAGGCTACAAAGATGTACCTAAAGAGCAGATAAGAGAGCCGTGGTTGGCTACTGGAGA